CTATAGGTTAAAATACATACACATACATATTTATAGTGTGAATAAAATACTGGAAGATTTTTGTAGAACACTTCAATTGTAATGTTACATCTAAATAACTCTGTAAAAATCAAATTTATTAAAAACCTAGTTTCTCTTTGAATTACCATCCTACTGTATTACTGAGAACTTTTTGAAAACAAGAAAAAAAATACTAAAAAAAACCCCCAACCGCACATTTCTGAGATAAATGGGAGTATTATGGGTTCCAAATGACCCTGGCTTCTGTTCTGCCATTTGTCTAAAAGATGCAAGTAAAAGGTTTGGAAACACAGAGAATTTTAGGCAGCCTAAAAAAACCCAGAAGTCTTTAAACTAAACAAAACATAAAACAGGTACCAACCCATCACCTGCAATCAGTTTTTCTACAAGTATTTAATACTATGAGAAGGCTTTGAAAATCATAGTTCTCTAAAATAAAACACATCACCTGTGCCCGACATTATGAGTCTAAAGGAAAACTGTATTTGTCATGGTTCTGAACCCTGTACAGTACCATAAAAGGGAACAATGACTATTCCAAGAAAGTTAACATCAAGTATCCTTAAGTGGGAAAAGTATTAAAATAATCACACGTTGGAGCCTGGCTCTCTTGGAATTTTACTTTTTTTCCCCTCCTGTTTCTTGAAATTGAAAGGGTTCTGACAACAGTCAAAGTAAAATTCAGGAAAAATGCTCGCAATTGTGGTTTTCTTCTTGTATTCACAGTATATCATTGCCAGTCTTCTAACAAATAGTTCTTATACTTTTTTGAAGTAAATTATATATCACTCATTTACCGACCTTTACTACAATTATAGTGTGCTGTTATTACAGCAAGTTGAAAGTTTATACCAGGATGCAACATCTTGCTTGAGTGTTGCCCTTTTTAACTGTCAGCACCAAAGCAACTATTCTTTATGAGCCAGCCAACTCCGGACGAACAGAATTTCAGCTGAAGCATTTTGCAACCAATAACTGAAAATGCAGACTATTTCAATGACTAGTATTAACTGTCATGCATTTCTGCAGGCTATTTAAGAATTGAATGCTATGCATTTAAAGGGCTGAATTAAAAAAAAATAAAACCACAGAAATAAAATCCAAAAATGGTGAAGAGAAAAATAATGGAAAAAAGCAATGAAATATATAAAACATTTTTTTCCATAGATTGACCTAAATACCTTTATACAAAGGTAAAAACATTAGCGATGTGAATTAAGAAAACAGGCTCATCTCATGTTATTTCCAAAGTCATATGAATCAAAACAGTTTAGATTAGCACAACAGAATCAGACCCATTAAGGAACAAATAGGCACGCTGCAGACTTGGTTCTGTTCGACAAGCAGACATGCAAATGTATAGACCCACATGCTACTAACGCAGCCTCCCATTCATGGGCAGAAAAATCAAGGTAAAAAAAAAAAAAACTAAGCATTTTTTCAAATACTAGCCTTACAAAACAACTGATGTGAGCTGACTGAACTAGAGGGACAAAGAAAACTTCTTTCCCAAGAACAACCCAACTGGAAAGGCCTTTTCCAGACACCAGGCAGTAAGTAAAGTAATATTTCAAGAAAAACAATTGCCTTTTCCTGTAGGCTAGGAACTTGCATCAACCCACACGTCTAAAACTTTCAAGACTTTTCCTTGTGGCACACCCACACTACCTCCTGTTTATACATGAGGAGCACCCAATAAAATTGTTGTATGGCAAATGAAATTACCCTCTATCTGTGAATAACTGAGCACGACAGCTGAAGAATCAGCACGTTTTGTTTTAAACACAAGCTGTCCTTTGCAAATACAGAGTCTGCCACACAGCGATAGGTCAGAGTCTGGCCTTTCAAAATCCTTACAGCTGCTTCCCAGGTCACTGGGGCTTTCACAATACTGACAGCACCCAGTCACAAACACGCACAGACCAGACAGTAATAGATCTCCAGTCGTTCTCATTTTACCATGCAATCTTTTGGCTTTACATTTCATTAAGGTTACTATTCTACAGCGCCTGTCAAACCGCCAAAGTGAAAATATGTCTTGTTTAGGGAGAACGGTGCCACCACCAAAAAGCGTACGTTTCTTAGCATACATTTCTTAACTCCCTTTACCCTAAAACTACCTGGAGCTATACCACACTTGAAAGTAGAAGAAATTTGAGGTGAAGCTTGCTAAGTTTTATTTGCATATCACGTTTCACCTTGGCAAACCTCAGCCCTGTGGTTCATGGCAACATGCTGCCCCTAACACCCCCCAGACCTGCTCGTAGCCCCAAGAGTTCAGAATGACATCTGTCAGAGAAAGGAATGACGACCAAAGACAAGCACTTG